CGTACGTAATAAGGCAAATAGATTACTGGGATTTATATCAAGAAGTGTAAGCAACAGAAGTCCAGAGGTCATACTGCAGCTTTATACATCATTAGTAAGGCCTCACCTAGATTATGCAGCTCAGTTCTGGTCTCCGTATTACAAAATGGACATAAATTCGTTAGAAAACATTCAGCGTAGGATGACTAAATTAATAGAAATCTTCCTTATGAAGAAAGATTGAAGACTCTTAAGTTACATTCACTTGTTAGACGAAGAATGAGGGGAGACCTGATCGAAGTGTATAAGTGGAAGATAGGTATTAATAAAGGGGATATTAACCCTTTCAGGGTCCGTCCCGTAGATCTACGGCTTTACGGTGAGTGTCCAAACCGTAGATCTACGCCATGAGCTCAGCTCACTCTGATAAACTGTGAGTGGTACATTTGGGCCTAGATATGAGAGAATACATCTATGTGGTATGTGTGCACCACATAAAACAGATCCTGCAGCACACTGTGTACAATGAGAGAAAAAAACTGAAATCATGATTTTTCGATTAAAACAGCAACTTTGCAGTGTTTTTTCGTATGTTTTTTATAGTTGTATTTGCGATTTCTTGGTCTCATTTGATAGAATGGAAGACATATTACAGAAATAGAGATGATTTTGATTGGTTTTAGCACTGGAAATGGCTTGAACTGAGCTCAAAGTAGCGGAAATGTTAAATTTTTGCCGATATTCAAGAGTAAACAAACGACCTCACACATCTAATACACGTCAGCTGGTGGGTCTAATATACATTCACAAATATGGTGATGATATTTATACAAATATTACAGTATTGCATAACAGTAAATCTTCTATTTTTTGGTGTGAATAAAAATTCATTATGTGAATAAAAAATCAAAATGGAATTTATTTGTAAAGCCTCAAAACATAACTAACGAACAGAGGAAATGTTTAGTTTAGTGCCAGGAATGCCTACATTGTTTATTCTTGACCCTATTTTGAAATTGAAATATTTTGAACTTTGTGTTAATTGGCCAAATTGACAATTTCCGATCACTTTATTTTGTAGTTGAAACAGTTGACTTGGCGATTTCTTGTGCTCAATCGATAGAATAGAAGTAATACTAGTGAAATAGCTAAGAATTTGGTTGATTGGAATAATGTAATTGGCCTAAAATGGGAGTCAAAGTCGGCAAAATCGGCCGATTCGTAAATATCGCTGACACATCAAAATTCGCGAGCATAATTTCGTCAATTTTCCACCAAATTTCGTACTTTTTGTTTTATTACCTTCACAAAAAGATTCTCTACGATTTCATAAGAAAAAATAAATTTTTTTTTTGAAAATTCTTGGACACTGGTGCGTGACTCCAGATTTGGGCCTTGGACCCTGAAAGGGTTAATAAGGTCTTGAGGATGTCTCTCCAAGAGAGAACCCGCAGTAATGGATTTAAATTAGATAAATTTAGATTTAGAAAGGACATAGGAAAGTATTGGTTTGGAAATAGGGTAGTTGATGAGTGGAACAGTCTACCTAGTTGGGTTATTGAGGCTGGGACTTTGGGTAGTTTCAAATCTAGGTTGGATAAGTACATGAGTGGGAGGGGTTGGATTTGAGTGGGACTTTCACATCAGAGCTTATTTCTTGGGTGGCATTGAAAATTGGGTTGGGCAAATGTTTTGTTAGTGGGATGAATTGTAAGGACCTGCCTAGTATGGGCCAGCAGGCCTCCTGCAGTGCTCCTCCTTTCTTATGTTCTTATGTATGTTCTTATTTCAAACACCCCCTCACACATAGGCACTTGCGAGTCAGTCAAGATAGAGAGCAGAGAGAGGCAGGTCGGCTGTTGGCGCTTTCCATACTTCCCGTTATATATTATACGTACTACCAGCCTACATGAGTATTCTTACCCTATCCACGTATCGAAAACCCACATGACAAATGGTGGCACCGGTGTGGGCGTGGATTTAAGGGTATTTCAGACGTTAGAAGACTGTTTGTGCGTTGCCGGCAGGTCAGAGGTGAACCGTGCCACCTCCAGCCGCTACCCTCACTCTTCTCCACCCTGTGTACTCCAGCCTGCAAGCCTGTTGCAGCCATTTTTTCAAGCTTCCTGGCATAGTTCGTGTGCTAAATTGCTTCAATCTCCAAGAGGTTGACCCGATTTTGCAATTAAAGCCAGTCAGTAAGCCAACTGTGGAAGTGAAACCTAGTCAGCCACCTCAGCCTAACCATCCAGCCTGTCTCCTTCATCCACCTGAGCACCTATCATGCTGGTGGCATCGTTACACGTCTTCGTCAGCCATTCTCGTGGGTTAACCAGTCAGTCAACTCCAGCGATTCTAACCCAGCTGAGAGAGAGAAGTCCGCCACGCAAGTCCTCTGAAGTATTTGTTTTCATGTATCGCTGTGGGCTTGGATGCTGTAAAAGTGGTCTTTATCAACATCCCTGTGGCATTGTGATTTAGTTAAGCCACCTGTGCGTGGTGAGAAGTGCGTGGCAGTGAGAGCGCACTGGGCCAGCATGTTCCGCTGCCTCCCACCACCACGCCAATCACACAACCACCCGCCACTATTCACTCAATCTACCTGATTGCTGTGGTTTTCCACCCTTGTACCCGGGTTCCTCAATACTGTTTTGGCTCACATAATTGGTCAAGAGAATTGTAGCTAGCGCCAACGATAAACCCAGTTATGTGAGTTCACCTAGAAAGCGCATTTCTTCGACAACAGTGTGAGTGTAGGCAGCATCACCCGCAAGACAAGCTTCACCTCATCACTCGTCACCATCACCGTCGTGTGTGTGTGTGGTGTGTGTGTAGGGGGGTTGGTGTTTTGGTGTGTAGGGGGTTGGTGTGTGTGTGTAGGGGGGTTGGTGTGTGTGTAGGGGGGTTGGTGTGTGTGTGTGTAGGGGGGTTGGTGTGTGTGTGTAGGGGGGTTGGTGGGGTGTGTGTAGGGGGGTTGGGTGTGTGTGTAGGGGGGTTGGTGTGTGTGGGGTTGGGGGGTTGGTGTGTGTGTGTAGGGGGGTTGGATGTGTGTGTGTAGGGGGGTTGGTGTGTGTTGGTGTAGGGGGGTTGGTTTTGTGTGTGTAGGGGGGTTGGTGTGTGTGTGTAGGGGGTTTTGGTGTGTGTGTAGGGGGGTTGGTTTTGTGTGTGTAGGGGGGTTTGGTGTTGTGTGTAGGGGGGTTGGTGTGTGTGTGTAGGGGGGTTGGTTTTGTGTGTGTGTGTAGGGGGGTTGGTGTGTGTTGTGTAGGGGGGTTGGGTGTTTGTGTAGGGGGTTGGGGGTGTGTGTGTGTGTGTGTAGGGGGTTGGTGTGTGTGTGTGTGGGGTGTAGGGGGGGTTTTGGGTTTGTGTGTGTGTGTGTGTAGGGGGGGTTGGTGTGTGTGTGTGTGTGTGTGTGTGTAGGGGGGTTGGGTGTGTGTGTAGGGGGATTGGTGTGTGTGTGTGTGTGTGTGTGTGTGTGTGTAGGGGGGTTGGCGTGTGTGTGTGTGGGGGGGGTTGGTGCGTGTGTGTGTGTAGGGGGTTGGTGCGTGTGTGTGTGTAGGGGGTTGGTGCGTGTGTGTAGGGGTGTTGGTGTGTGTGTAGGGGTTTTGGTGTGTGTGTAGGGGGGTTGGTGTGTGTAGGGGTGTTGGTGTGTGTGTAGGGGGGTTGGTGTGTGTAGGGGGTTGGTTGTGTGTGTGTGTGGGGGGTTTGGTGTGTGTGTGTAGGGGGGTTGGTGTGTGTGTGTGTAGGGGGGTGGTGTGTTTTGTGTTTTAGGGGGGTTGGTGTGTGTGTGTGTAGGGGGGTTGGTGTGTGTGTGTGTGTGGTGGGTTGGTGTGTGTGTGTGTGTGGGGGGGTTGGTGTGTGTGTGTGGGGGGGTTGGTGTGTGTGGGGGGGGAGTTAGTGTGTGGGGGGGTTAGTGTGTGTGGGGGGGTTGGTGTGTGTGTGGGGGGGTTGGTGGTGGGGTGGGGGGGGTTGTGTGTGTGTGGGGGGGGTTGGTGTGTGTGGGGGGTTGGTGTGTGTGTGGGGGGGTTGGTGTTGTGTGTGGGGGGTTGGTGTGTGTGTGTGTGTTGGGGGTTTGGGTTTTGTGTGGGGGGTGGTGTGTGTGTGGGGGGGTTGGTTGTGTGTGGGGGGCTGGTGTGTGGGGTGGGGGGGTTGGTGTGTGTGTGTGGGGGGGTTGGTTGTGTGTGTGTGGGGGGGTTGGTGTGTGTGTGTGGGGGGGGAGGGTGTGTGGGGGGGGATGGTGTGTGTGGGGGGGATGGTGTGTGTGGGGGGGATGGGTGTGTGTGGGGGGGATGGTTGTGTGTGGGGGGGGATGGTGTGTGTGTGGGGGGATGGTGTGTGTGGGGGGAATGGTGTGTGTGGGGGGGATGGTGGTGTGGGGGGGGGGGATGGTGGTGTGGGGGGATGGTGTGTGTGGGGGGGATGGTGTGTGTGGGGGGGATGGTGTGTGTGGGGGGATGGTGTGTAGGGGGTTGGTGTGTAGGGGGGATGGTTGTGTGTGTGTTTTGTGTGTGGGGGGGGGGGGAGTGGGGATGGTTGTGTGCGTGTTTTGTAGGGGAGGGGGGTTGCATTGCATATACACATTTATGTCCATGAATGTACAGTGGACCCCTGCATAACGATTACCTCCGAATGCGACCAATTATGTAAGTGTATTTATGTAAGTGCGTTTGTACGTGTATGTTTGGGGGTCTGAAATGGACTAATCTACTTCACAATATTCCTTATGGGAACAAATTCGGTCAGTACTGGCACCTGAACATACTTCTGGAGTGAAAAAATATCGTTAACCGGGGGTCCACTGTATTATGCTCTACACCATATGCAAATCTATTTTCAATAGAAGCAGGCAAGGTTAGAAATGATTAGAAACCCAACATATAAAAATGTCAAGACCAATTAAATGATACCAGAAATTAAATCAATATGGAAGTTTTAATTTCACGACAGCAAAGGAATTAGTAGGAAAATCAATAATGTATCAGGGAAGTTTTTTATATAAATTAGGCACAAACTAATTAAAAACATTAACTTACTTGTAAAAGTGTGTCTGCAGATGTGGGACCATGGTTAACTGGGAACTTCCTCCGGCCATCTGAAATAATACCATTATTAAATAGTGCAACATAAGGAATAACCTTGGCACAGCTCAGATATTATAATAAAAGTTAAGCACTAAATTAAGGGTTGTACAGTCCAGAGAACCCATTGCTTGAGGTACAGTTTACATGGGACACCATATAAACTGTACATATACACTATACCTGGAAGAAACTTGTGAAATTAGGGTACTGCCTTCTAGCATATTCTGTCAAGTATCAAGTCAGATTCACTATCAAGTCGCCAGATTCATTATCTTTCAATCCCACACCTCTCCAACACCCTAGCATCCACTTTTACAACCCCACACCTATAAGCTTACAGCACTTTGCCGTATCTCGCATCTGCTTGACAGTAGGGGTTGCAAGATTCTGTACGAGGCACAAGTACGCTCACACCTTGAGTATGCTCCACTTTCTTGGTTTGCCTGCCCCCCCCCCTCTTATCTGCGACTGCTTGACAGTGGAGAACAGAGCAAGACGTCTCATCTCTCGCCTGGACCCATCCTGGATATATCTGTCATTTCAGCAGAGCCTTCAACACAGGAGGGATGTGGGTGGCCTTACTGTTATGTACAAGGCCAATACTGTCAAAGTACCACACTTGGATCCACTTCGAGGACAGCGTGAAACAAGCTTTTATGCCACAAGACGGGCAGAAAGCAGCAACTTCACTCTGGCTGTACCCTTCTCCAGAACATCACTCCATCTGAGATCATACATACCCAGGATGACTCGAGTATGGAACACATTCGCACAGCATAATGATGTCAACGAGAAAGTCAGTTGATCAAATGAAAATACTGGCCCACAGATGGCTCCAACTTCATCCTGTTCCCTACTTGCATGTCTCAAAACAATAAAAATGCTTTCAAATGAGCTGATGTAGGTAACAAGCTCCTTATAGCTTGCAATAAAGTTAGGAATACTTAACCTTGTAAATAGCTTGTCAATAAAGCTAGGGATCTAACCTGGTGGTCAAACCTGTGTAAAAAAAGAGAGAAGAGAGAGAGAGGAAGAGAGAAGGAGAGAGAGAGGAAGAGGAAAAGAGAGAGAGAGGAAGAGAGAGAGAGGAAGAGAGAGAGGAAGAGAGAGAGAGGAAGAGAGAGAGAGGAAGAGAGAGAGAGGAGAGAGGAGAGAGAGGAAGAGAGAGGAGGAGAGAGAGGAAGAGAGAGAGAGGAAGAGAGAGAGGAAGAGAGAGGAGAGAAGAGAGAAGAGAGGGAGAGAGAGAGAGGAAAGAGAGAGAGAAGAGAGAGAGAGGAAGAGAGAGAGAGGAAGAGAAGAGAGGAAGAGAGAGAGAGAGAGAGAGGAAGAGGAGAGAGAGGAAGAGAGAGAGGGAGAGAGAGAGAGGAAGGAGAAGAGAGGAAGGAGAGAGAGAGAGAGAGAAAGAGAGAGAGGAAGAGAGAGAGAGGAAGAGAGAGAGAAGAGAGGAGAGGAGGAAGAGAGAGAGAGGGGAAGAGAGAGAGAGGAGAGAGAGAGAGGAGAGGAGAGAGAGGAAGAGAGAGAGAGGAAGAGAGAGAGAGGAAGAGGGGGAGAGGAAAGAGAAGAGAGGAAGAGAGAGAGAGGGAAGAGAAAAAGAGAGGAAAAGGGGAGAGAGAGAGAGGGAGGGAGGGGGTGGGGAAAAAGGGGAAAAGAGAGAGAGGGAAAAGCTTTTATGCCAAAGAGGGAAAAAGCAGAAACTTCACTTGGCTGTCCCCTTTCCAAAACACACCCCCTCTGGTCATACATACCGGAGACCGAAGGAAACTTCTACAGCATAAAAAAAAGTCAACGAGATAAAGTAGTTGATCAAATGAAAAAGCTGGCCCACAGATGGGTCCAAAATTCCCTGTTCCCCACTTGTATGTCTCATAACAATAAAAATCTTTCAAATGAGTGATGTAGGGAAAAGCTCTTTTGCTTGCCAATAAAGTTAGGAATCCTTAACCCCGTAAATACTGCATAAAGTAGGATCCTTAACCCTTTTCAAAAAATGTAAAAAAAAAAAAAAAAAAAAAAAAAAAAAAAAAGAGAGGGAAAGAGGGAGAGAGGGGGAGAGAAAAGAGAGGAAGGGGAGGAGAGGAAGGAGGAGGGGGAAGAGAAGAGAGGAAATAGCTTGCCCAAAAAAGCTAGGGACCCTTTAAACCCCTTGTAAAACCCAAATGTGTAAAAAAAAAAAAAAAAAAAAAAAAAAAAAAGGAGAGGAAAGAGGAAGAGAGAGAGAGGGAAGAGAGGAAGAAGGAAGAAAAGAGAGAGGAAGAGAGAGAGAAAGGAAGTGAGAGAGAGAGAAAGAGAGGGGAAGAGAAAGAGAGAGGAAAAGAGAGAGAGAGGGGGAAGAGAGAAAAGAAAAGGGGAAAGAGAGAGAGAGGAAGAGAGAGAGGAAAAGAGAGAGAGAGGAAGAGAGGGGAGGAAGAGAAGGAGGAAGAGAAGGGGGTTTGAAGAGTGTCACAGTGTGCCCCCCAAAAAACTTTTTTTTAATATTACCTAAAAAAAAGAGGGTTGGTGTGGAAAAAAACTGTTCAGTGAGGGAAGGACACTTAAAAACCACTTTAGTAAAGAAAGCCAACTCCTCCACTGAAGTGAAAAAAGGGCCAATTTCGGGATATTAAGTGTGGTAAGGTGAAGACATGGTGTGAGTGAGGGGACAGCGGCACGCCTTAGGAGTAACTTCACTATTGCCTTCAGAGTGAGCATCTAATGTGTGTGATGTGCCATGTACTAGCATCTGTTGCTTTATAACAACGTGGCTGGTACAATGCAACACAGTGATTTGTGTAACATCTTCCTTTAGTGGAAAAGTGGATAGCATAAACAGTGTTTATTAAGTGATAGTGAGAAGGCAACACTTCCAGCTAGTCGGCCCACTGCCGCTCGCCCTCACTACCCACCCGGCTATAAACACCCCCACCCACGATACTCCACCCCACCCACGACATCACCACCCACCCTCTCTCTCCTGTGAACTTCAAACCTACAAGCCTCCTCTGGGATGACTTCACACCGCAAAATAGCAAGAATATCTACGCTATCTGGCTATTGTCCCAGTAGTTACTGCAGTGTTTGTGGGTATACCACAAGAGACAAAATTCTTCTTAGATGTAAGGAGCCTACTTGTTCCAACTACTGCCACACAGATTGCATTCCAGAAGAATTATTTTGTTGCAGCCAGGTTGAAAATTTCAGAAAATTTAAGGATATCCATAATCCTGTGGTATATGTGGATACAAGCCTGGAGCTACAGGAGGAAGGTTCAGAAGTCCTACCTCAGGGACTCCTGTCCAAAGATCAAGACTGCCCTCTTGGGCTGTGTTGTAAAGTTGCAGCTAAGATAATCCATCACAGGGAAGCACTTCATGAGCTCCTCAAATCATTAGATAACCTACAAGCTATTGTAGAAGGTCAGTGCAAGCCTACATCATGTGACGTAAGCTGCTCAGCTGATGGTGACACTATTGACAAAGACTGGAAGTCCCACACTGAGCTTAACTCAGGGGTAAACAACTGGTGGAATTCTGTCATCACTAAGGTCCCACAGACTGACAGAGTTCAAAACACTACCTTTGGGAATTCTAACAATTCCTCTGACCACCACAGAGGGAACAAATCCTCTTCCCAGCAACGAGGGAAGCCTTGGATCTGTTAATTCTCCTACACCTGACATCTCTGCTTCAGCCACTGCCAGTCTACTTGACAGTGCACATACCATCTCTAATTCTACACCTGTCAGCATACCTGCCGATACTATTCTAGAATCTGGTAGCAGTGCTTCGTCAGCAAGTTCTGAGCCAGGAGTTTCTCCACCAGAGAACGGTGCAGTTAATGATCAGGGAACTATCACTGCACCTGATCACCTACTGCGCCGAAGTACGAACAGCAGGGACACATCTGTCAGAACTGGTAGAGGACGGGGCAGAGGACGTGGAGGACGATGTGGAGGAGGAAGACATCTACAGCCGTCTCACCCTCCACTAACACAGTTCCAGCGGCAGAATCTGAGGACAAATCTGCAAAACTCAGGAGGTGCAACAAATCCTAGTCCACCCTCCCAGGCACCTAGGCTGTGCTCTCGCTGTCACCGGAAGGGGCACACTGCCAACAACTGCCTGCGAGATACCAGGTGTAATTACTGCTACAAGAAAGGACATAAGGAGGACCAGTGTCGGAAGAAAAAGGAACTTGACAGACAGGGCCACCTGTTTAGAGACCTGTTCTCAGAACAAAACAGCAGGATCTCTGGCCCACAGATGGCTCCAACTTCATCCTGTTTCCTACTTTTATGTCTCATAACAAAAATGCTTTCAAATGAGCTGATGTAGGTAACAGCTCTTAGCTTGCCAATAAAGTTAGGAATCCTTAACCTGTAAATAGCTTGTCAATAAAGCTAGGGATCCTTAACCTTGTCAAACCATGTGTAAAAAAAAAAAAAAAAAAAAAAAAAAAAAGAGGAAGAGAGAGAGGAAGAGAGAGAGAGAGGAAGAGAGAGAGAGGAAGAGAGAGAGAGGAAGAGAGAGAGAGAGGAAGAGAGAGAGGAAGAGATTTGTTTTTTTAAATAAACACTATTAACTTACCAAGCTCATAAAGGTTTCCTTCAACTTCTACCAAGGCTATAAAGTGCTCATTCACTACATCTTCACGGTCTGGTGCCTGGAAAATAAAGTGTAAGTATTTAACTAAATACAAGCATTAATCTTGCACAGTTGACTTGGGCATATTATCAGTGCTTTCAGTGACTAACAAGCACAATTTCAAGGCATTCGAGATGATTCCTGTTGAAATTCAGCAAACATTTGATTTTTAAGTGTCTGCTGGCTGAGGTGTGTGCAAATCTTGCACTTCCTGAGTGTTATTTAAAAAAGCAAATTTAATCTTCAATGTTACCACCATTACATGAAAGGGAACAAAGCTAAACAATGAAAATAAATTTTTTGACTCGTCTAGCAAAATTCAAGATAAAATTTAAGATAAAAGACATCAGGCATATTTTTTTTTTCTTCAACAAGCCGGCCATCTCCCACCGAGGCAGGGGTGACCCAAAATGAAAAAATCCCCAAAAGAAAATACTTTCATAATCATTCAACACTTTCACCTCACTTGTACATAATCACTGTTTTTGCAGAGGCATCCAGATACTACAGTTTAGAAGCAATATAAACTGTTTTATCTGGATGCCTCTGCAAAAACAGTGATGTATGAGTGACGTGAAGGTGTTGAATGATTAAAGTATTGTTTTGGGGGGATTTTTTCTTTTCTTTCCTTTTGGGTTACCCTGCCTCGGTGCGAGATGGCCAGCTTGTTAAAAAAAAAAAAAAAAAAAAAAAAAAATAATATATGCCTGATGTTTTATCTTCACCCCTTGACTGTCGCAACCCCAAATCCTGAGGTGTCTTCTGGTGTTGGGGGAAAAAAAAAAAAAAACTTTTTTTTCTTATGAAATGATAGAGAATCTTTTCCCGATTGGAATGACACCAAAAGAACGAAATTTGATGGAAAACTGATGGAATTACGCTCTCGCAAAGTTAGCGATATTTACGAATTGGTGATTTCGCCCACTTTGAGCCCTATTTTCGGCTAATTCCATTGTTCCAGTCGACCAAACTAGTAGCTATTGCTTTAGAGCTCCATTTTTTCTATTGATTGAGTACAAGAAACTGCCCATTTACTGATTTCAAGTACCCAATAACATTGTCAGAAATTTGCAATTTGGCCAATTTCACAAAAACTAAAAAATATGACAATTTCAAAATAGTGTCCAGAATGAACAGACATTCCTGGCTCTAAAATAACATTTTCTTTGTTCATCAGTCATGTCTCCAGGCCCCTCTGATGTTACTCTTGCTTTCTAATTTGAATTTTTATCCAAACAAAAAATAGAAGATTTACTGTTATGCAGACTACTGCAATATTTTAATAATTGTATAAATAATGTCAACCCATTCATGACTGCATATCAGAATGGCTACTTGGACATTTATTGGAAAATGACATCATTTGTTTACTTTTGAACATTGGCAAAAATAAAACCTTTCCCCTTCTTTGAGCTCCATTTCAAACTCTTAAGTATTACAATGCTGAGTTTACAGAATTTGGTTGTGTGGTTTACATGTAGTAAAATAATAATTACAGTGTACCACTAGAACGCCTAGCATGGCTAGGCATTTCGGGCAGACTTATATTAAATCTTAGGTTTAAAATGTTACAAAATTATGAGAAGTTGGTATTATGGCTAAGTGACTAAGTACTAGTTGTGAGTTTAGCAATGTGAATGCTTTTGTTTTGGCACTATACGTAGTTTCAGTATTGGAGTATCACAGGCCAACTTATGACTAGTTAAGATTCATTATTTTGAGATTGAGATTGATATTTCTGTTTATGGTCAAATGGGTGAGTAAGTGTAAGTGTGAACCACCAGGTGGTATTCCTATTATTAGTTGACAGGGTGTATCAAGGAGATAAGATGTTTTCTGATGGTAGTTTTGAAGGTGATGAATGTGTCTGCAGTTTTGGAATTTTCAGGTAGGGTGTTCCAGATTTTAGGGCCTTTGA